AAAAAAAATATTTAATCAGTAAGGAAAGTATTTGTTCATATTTTAATCATCGATATCCATCGTCATAATCATTGCAATTTCCATCATGTGCCCAATCATGATATTGAAATCAGAAAACATGAAACCGCAAATATAAAGTTTTTTAAATTTGAAGTCAAAGTAGATAACCTGATTCTTGAAAAGATTCACTAACGTCTCCTGGTAATAGGTCACCATCAAACCAATGAAAATTATACTGGTTTTCTTCTAAAGTCCACCCATTGTTGTCAGGAGTTGCATTGTTCCATATGCTAACAATGTATTTAACTACGAATATATTTGAGAATCAGACATGTAAAAGTGAGTAAAGTTCATTTATTTTTTGTGGAGCTTTAAAGCGTCTGACAAAAGTTTTGGTCCATAGAAAGTATGTAACACTTATGATACTATTTCAGAATAATATTTTACAAAACATATATAAAAATCAGTCATATAAATTTAAGTTGAGTAACTCTGATTTTTAGTTACCTTTCTTATCTGGTACTTGCCCAGGTGTCACAAAGCGAGCTCCTCAAGCACACAGGTATTCAAAGAACAAAGTTCTGTCTGATTGCTCTGGGATCTTAGGTTAGGTTATGCCAAAAGTAAGTGGGCCAATTCGACGGACCACCGCAACCCGCAAGGGTTTATTGTGGCTCACACCTATTCACACTGGACCAAATAAATACAGCTTTTTAACGAAGCCGATTAGTTAATCTTTCAGGTCAGATGGTAAGAGTATGGCTCTGTCAAACTCAGAAAACCTGATTCGGTCCCCAGCGGGGCAGGCACAAAGTACTCTGCTGTTTCATAATTTTCCAAATGGATGATTCAAATGACAGTGACCTGTGAGAAGGCCTGTTGACATCATAGTTCATCCTTACTGTAGCCCAACAACTGTTTGGTATCAAGCTTTGAAGGGTGAATAAACACCTTGGAGTGAGCCAATTATGCCAGAAATCCAAAAAACTTCTTGCCATCCAGTTGTTAAATGATTGTTTGGCAAAGCCTAAAGCAATGCCAATGACAGATTCTGGTCCGATGAAGCTGCTTGCAGCACCCTCGTTTGTAAGGGAGTCAGCAGTCTCATTCTGGGATCTTACTCTATTAGTATAAATATTGTAATAGCAGTAATAACTGAAATCTCATCAATTTTATTTTTCCTTATTTTCAAAATCTTTTGAAAGTGGTAAAGTCCCTAGCAATATGAAAGCTGCCAAAATTTCTTCTATTTATAAGAATGGCATAAAAGATGATCCTCACAACTACAGCCCAATTTCGGTGTGCCCAGTGCATCACAAGTAAATAAGATTATTTGAAAAACAACAGTATGGTTTTCACAGGTTCAGAGATAAAGAGTTAGCAGCGATGGATGTCATTGAAAAAATTCAAACTGAAATTGAAAATTATTAAAAATGTTGCTTCTTGTCTTTGGATTTATGTAAAGCATTTGTTAGTGTACATCAGGATATATTGATCTCAAAACTGAACAATGTTGACATTAGAGGGAATATCCTTGATTGGTATGTAAAGTAATTAAATGAGAGANGTTTCAAGCTGATGAAGCAGCCACTGATTATGTCGAACAAATATCCAGTTACTTCAAGACCGGTGAAGTTCCTATTTTCGACATGTTATTATTAGGAATGGGGCCAGACGGCCATACCTGTTCTCTCTTTCCTGGTCACAAACTCCTAACTGAAGAACACAAATGGGTGGCTTCTATAACAGATTCGCCTAAGCCACCCCCATGCAGGATCACACTAACCTACCCTGTTATCAATAATGCTAGGTTCTGTATTTTTGCTGCAGCAGGTGCAGGAAAGGCAGCTATGATAAAGGTATGACAAATTTATTATATTTGAGATTATGTTCCACCATTTCACTAAAACTTTGTTTCATTAAAAACACTGAGTTATTGTTTTCTCAATGGCAGACCTGACTCATTTTAACAAAGGTAACAATGATCAATCATGATTTTTGTCTGTATTTTTCAAAAAATCAAAATAATTTCGAAAAACCATTCAATGCAGGAAATAGTTTTATATCACTATGTATGAAAATTTTGAAAAAGGCAGTTGCAAAACTTTTGACTGCATTTCCTACGAAAAATTCTTGGAAAAATTAAACTATTACAAACTTCGGAGTATTATCTCTTAACATAATAGATATTACTTTTTCATGATGATGAAATTGATGAAAATGATGATGAATATTTCGAGATTTCATTTCAAAATATTTATTTTCTTATATGTATATATATCTTTCCGTGATAAAGTATTAAACTTTATTTTGATTTGTCAGAGAATTGATACATGAGATGTTTTTCCCCGCTTGGGGCTTCATTCATGAGGTGGTGCTGTTACTAGTTAACAGCCTACCTACACATACTGTGTAGGTAGTTGAGAGAGATGAATATGGCAAGATTTTATTCTGAAATATTTATTTTCCTAAAAAAAAATGATTCAAAAATAGTACTCAAAAAAGTTGAAACAGCTAATTGGGGATCAAAATATTATTGAAGAAGATGATAAATTTCAAGTGAACCACATTAAGTATAAAGAAAATAAATTTACAGTATTTATGGAAACAAGTACCAAATTGTTCAATGAGACTTTTGAAATGAGTAGTGCAAAAGTATTTATTGCTTGGCATAATTGACAAGTTCAAGATGCAAATTTTGTAACTCAATGTTGACACTGTAACTGTAACAAAATGTATGAAATTTCTAAGATTGGTTATTCTCAATTGATATCTTTTGAGTATATCTAATATCAAAAAATTATATTTTTCAGTATACTGCAAAAAATCAATTTTTCCCTTAATAAACATAAATTTAATTTAGATTTCGAGGTTTTATCGAAATTTGAGAGACGAACCAGATGGAAATTTGAATGAATTGCCAAATGAAAGAAATAATATCTCCAGCGATATGTAGAGACTTGCTTTTAGTTAACTTTCCATCTATTTTTATCTATGATAGGGAATAACAAAACTTACTCAAAAAAAATGTTTTCCTCTATTTCTTGTAAAAATTCACTTCAATAATCACAATCCATTCTCTAATATGCAACCAAATTTGAAATCTTCAAAGTACTGCTTTTGAATTATAATCCAAACAGTAATATCTTGCATTATGACCACCTAAAATCGAGCTTCATAATAGAGTTTCATGTTTCCATCAGTTGATGCAGATTGAAAATCCAAAAAATAAGATGTTTTCATCAGTTGATGCATATTGAATATCCAAAAAATAAGATGTTTTCATCAGTTGGTGCAGATTGAAAATCCAAAAAAATAAGATGTTTTCATCAGTTGATGCAGATTGAAAATACAAAAAATGATGTTTTCGTGTGTTGTTTGCAGATTGCAAATTAAAAAAAAAGATGTTTTCATCAGTTGATGCGGATTAAAAATACTAACACTTTTTCAATTCCAGAGAATATTAGTAGATAAGGAGGATCTTCCGGCAGCCAGAGTGAAACCAACAACTGGAAAATTATACTGGATAGTGGACAAAGAAGCAGGATTATATGTGAACAAAATATGAACAGATAGTCTTAACATTTTAATCAGGGGAATTTTTTTATAAATACATATACAGTATAATAAATACCATATTTATTAAAATATTAAGTACATCACATTTCCCATTTATTTTATTTGGAATATAATATATATCTGTAAATATATATCCTGGGATTCATCTATGTAATATGTTTGAATGTCAATCTGGAAATAATTCATGCAAACTTTCAAGGATTCAAAAGTGGCATAACATCAATAACGAGTGGATAATTTTAAAATCTAGTGAGTTTTAAAAGCGAATTTGAAAATGCAAATAAATAAGAAATTTCCGTTTGTGGCTGAAGTCATGTAGTTGAAAGAGTATAACTAGCCTTCATACCCATCATGGATTAGACATTGCAACTATCACATGAATTAAGCACAGAAGTTTGTTGTAATGCATTTATTTTATCTTGCCCAGCCACAAACGTATCAACACATTTGGAGGAGTAGGAGAAATATATCCAGCGTATGTTGAAGCTTATTATGTACAAATAAATAAATTTAAACTAGACAATATTAAATTGTCATGTAGAAAGATTCGCTCCGCCAAGTCGAAGCCATGCTGCCCTCCGCAGAATTTTGGAAAATAAATAAATTGGTTCCTAAGCTGTCTTCATAACATCACGTCATGTTGACCCCAAGGAGTCGACTGGAATATTCATAGACAACATAACTGATACTGACAGCTGGCATTACTTTTATAAAGTTGGGGGTGATTCCTCGATAGAGTCCAAAGAAACCTTCTTTCTCAATAATGGTGCGGAATACGCCTGTCATTGTGGCCGAAGATGGGTCTATGGAAGGATGAACAACTGTAAATAAAAAAAGAATACTATTATATGGTTTCGATGTCATAACTAAATACCCATGTTTTGCATCAGTTGTGACTCTTTTAGGCAAATGTGGGTCGCCGTTAACGTCATTCAACAATTCCTGACCGATGCTCACACGACGTTTTTTTTGGTCAAAATTCAGCAATTTTGGAATGAACTTGGTTCGTGAAAAGCATCACCTCTCAAAACTTCTTCTCAACTTACATGGACTATATTTTTATGAGTCATAAAAATAATGCAGCTCTACTAAGAATATGAAGTAAACTATAAAAGTTTATTTTTCACCGAGCTACGTAACCTTATCTACCTATTTGGACTTCATTAGTACGACTTCTTGGCGGAAACACAAGAAATTTTGTGATTGTAAATTTAATATTACATTGAGATAACTTTTCTCTCTTCTCCAGTGAAATTGTGAAGAAGATGCACTTCAAAAAAATGAAGCATCTTTCAAATATGTAATCTCAACCCTTTATATGGCCGATTGTTTTGAAGGTAAATCAAGTGACTAATGAGAAATTTTTGCCCTCAAAGTTTTCGGTACCGTTTCCAAAATTAGAGACACTATTATTTTACCATTAGATTTCAGAATATTCATAAAAGATCATCCTTTGAAGAGTTCAAGAGACATTTTCATAAAAAGTAATGTTTCAAATTACCACCGTTGTCTATCAACTCACCTTGTGCTTGTAATCTGGTCCTAATGAGAGCTAAGGGATAGGAACACATCTGACCTAGTGTACTGCTAGCGCTGCCGCAAGCCAAAAGCATCCAAAAACTTGGTTGTTCATTACTTAAGTGTGTCATGAAGTATTTCTTCTTTAAAGTTTCATATACAGCTAAATCTATCCCCGCGTATGGTATAATACCTAAAAAAAAAAATTATTTATAACTTTCAATTGTTTACATACATACAATATTGTATTCTTCATCAATAAGCAGCAAATTGTAGATATATCATTTTGAAATTTCAATCGAATTCACAGTATGTCAGAAAAAGAACAAATGTCATATACAAAATATAAGACCTAATTTATAGTTTCAGAAAGAATATTACCACTTTTGTCATTATTATTCTGGTGTGAATAGTTTTCTTGCATGCAGTGTTTTGGTATTTTCGATATCATGAGCTTTGGCTTTGTTTTTTTTACTCTTCTTGGTAACTTAGTCAGGAAACTAATTTAATGAATTTACAACTCACCTAATATATTTGGAATGTAACCTCTGTAAAAACTCATCAATCCTTCTCCGACATATATCTTGTAGGCAGCGTCAGCTATACTTTTATACTGCCCGGTTTTTCTCAGAGCAAGCCTGGTCTTGAGTACCTCCAATGGATAAATGGCGCTTTGGCTGATTCCTCCTGCTAGTGCACCAGCAATGAACCTGTAATAAAAATGTAGACACTTATAGCACTTTCTGGTACACCGCAAATTTGAACAGAGTGTGATACACATTGATGATAGCGCGTAGAAATTTGATGGAGAAGCCAGCGTCAAGGAGAGTATTGCATTTCTGGTGATTGGGAAAAGGCACTTGTTTTGGAGTCGAAAATAACTACTGACAAAATAGTTGAAGAGGAAACCATCTCTTTAAAAGTTCATTTCTGCAGAAACATTGTGCTTTCCCTAGAGATTTTTTGTTTCTGCAAGCACATCATAAATAAAAATACCTTGACTTAATTCAGCAGATTAATATGAAAGTAAATTCATCAGTTTATAAAATATTAAGTACATCACATTTCCCATTTATTTTATTTGGAATATAATATATATCTGTAAATATATATCCTGGGATTCATCTATGTAATATGTTTGAATGTCAATCTGGAAATAATTCATGCAAACTTTCAAGGATTNACAAATATACCATATTGTTGGCTGCGTTATGTTGATGACATGTTTGTTGTTTGGCAAGATGATGAAGAGACTTAAAAAGGATTTTCTATTATATCTTAAGTCTCTCGACCCAAAAATCTAATTCATAATGGAACAAGAAACCCAAGGGAGTCTTAACAAAAGACAACAACAAAATTACTATCAGAGTATATAGAGATGCAATAGAAATTCAAAGAAAAAAAGAGGCAATGAACATTAGTACAATCTGGCTACCTGTCCTTAATTGTACACAAACAAGGCCAGGTAATCCAGTTAAGAGAAAACAAGCCACGCCCACCTATCACCACATAGGTATAAAACAAAGTCGCTTCTCGCTGTCTGTCTCTATGTATGCAACTACACAACGGATTTTGATGAGAATTTTTTTAACAGACAGGGAGAGATTCAAGACGAAGGTTTATGTGTATATAACATGTATAATATAGTAGAGAAACACTGATAATTATATTGGTTCCTAATGTGATGTCATAAGTAAACACTTTTTTTGCGCTTACATTGCTAATGCTGGCTGAACCCAATGAGATATATCAAAATAATGTACTACAGTATTGTGCACCTTATAAAGGTCTACAAAAAAGTCCGCGATGGTATAAGTCAATCTCGCAGGGATAGCCCACAATAACCTTTTCATATTGATTATGTTGATTTATGTGTATGAAACCACGATATCATACTTTTATCATAATGAACATATTTATGTATGACATCATTTGTAGTAAAATATACCAAGTATGGTTCAACATATTGCTTCAGTTTCAAATTTGATATTAAGTTTATATAGAAAAAAATTGGCATGAATACTGAGTAGCAAAATTTTGGGCTCACAACACTTGAAAAATATAATGGTGGAAATGAATGCATTTTAAAATAGAGTTTTTTCCATTTTCTAGATTTTCCTAAATTTTCATAATCACTGTTGAGAACCATTATTACTAGATTATCTGGGCGAATGACACCACAAGTGGATGTATAATTTTTATTAGAATATTCAATTTTATTTTCGAATATGTATGCAAGTACACTGACAAGAACTTTTATCTCTGTTCTTTCAACAATCAGAAAATTCGATGAAATGACAATCTGTTGAAGTAATCATAAACATAATAAAGTTGGCACAGATTATCTTTTGCCATAATGTACAGAATGATATAGAACCAGCTAGGAAAACGGTTTCATGAAAGACAAAAATAATAACACAGAAAACACAAAGAAAAATCCCTATATAAGGACTTTGTGAGAAAAAAAAAAGAAAAACTGCTCCAACAGAGAAGGGATCGACTCAGAATAATTATAGGGCTACCACTGCATATTTCCATTTATGTTACCTGCATAAGGGCTGTGAAACGAAAATCTTAGCTGTACATAATGCAACATAATGCAGATACATCTTATCATGTATCATGGTGAGACATTGAGTCACAGAAGACAATCAACTTACAGATAAAAAACTAGCTCAGAATATACCAAACATTCAATTCTTGGAATTGAACATCGTGCTTTGTTTTCAATACGAACCTACTCTAAAACACTGTACCATTTAGTTTCATTACGGAAAACAATAAAGGCGGTATTATTATTATTCAACACAGAATCTGTACAAACTGGTATAAGGAACAAGATTGTTGGGATATTAGTATTTTAGAAAGATGAGAGAAAAAACGAAATTAGCCTACGAGGCTGCAATGTTTTCCAGAGTTTTTCCGTATTATCATTATTTCATCCAATTTCAAACAGTTTAAAAATTGGGCGGTAAAAAATTAAAAACTACAGTCCCTCAGTGAAAATTGAACCCATAACTCATATTTACAGGTCCCATGTTCTACCAACTACTCCACAAATATGTGTACAAACTAGTTTGTACACATATTTGTTATCAAGTGACGAATTACCAACATTACATTTTTGGCGGAGCACACTCGATTTCACTTTTCCAGTCCATATTTCAATTTTCTTTTTTCTTTGCAAACTTATATAATTGAAAACTGTCAGTTCAAAGATTACGGTTGACATTGAGAACATATTTTGAAGTAGATCGTAGAAAACAAATATTTACCTTTCATAAATGCTTAGAGTATTAGTTGAGTCTCCCTTGATCAGTCTTTTGATTTGTTCATAGGCGGCAAATTTAAGAGCTGACTCGGGTGCTATCTTGAGAACGTTGATTCCGTTTCCTCTCCAAAGACCAGTAACACCACCTTCTTTCACCATGTGATTGAAACAATCACTAATTTTCTGTTTGGAAGGTTGTACCTATAAAACAATAATATAATTTATTGACACCTTTCAAACAAACAATGAATATAATGAACATTTGAATGAATAATAATATATTTTTTTACTTGTTCCAAAAATGAGTGGTTGAGTTTGTAACACAAAAGCGTGAACAATCATAAGCGATTAGGTCACATTTTTCAGTATTACTTCATGTTTTTGATTAGTTACCTACCTGTAAAAACACTTTTAATCTATCTAAAGGTGCTGTACATGTTCTCGAAACAGCTCCAGCTACGCCACCAGCAGCCAAATGTCTCCACCACTTTCCAGTTTGCATTTCATTTTGTGTGAAGTCATCTGGTACATTCATATCCTCCCCGATATCCAAGTACTGTAATTAGAAATCAACGTCAACATCGGACATTCAAAAATTATTAAAAATATGGTTTGGTTTCCTATAGCATATTTACTAGACTATAAAAAATCATAGATATGCAGAATTTAACAGATATGACAAAAGGTAAATATTAACTATGTGATTTATTTCAAGCCAGTAAAAAGATATTTCATTTACATTATCACGAAAAGTTTTATGAATTCTGGCTAGATTTTATTGCTTTTCGTAAGTGAAAAAGTAGAACCTTACTGCTGCATGAAACAGAATAGTCACATATGTTCTCAGGTATTAGGGAAAGACTTACCTTCTCACAATCGGGGAGAAACCCGAACTATTCATGACAATTAAAATATAGGAAATATTTCTAAATCGGTATACTGTGACTTCATCACTTTGATTTATCCATTCTAGTGTTTGTCAATTTGTCAAATTTCGCTTGCAGGTGCTTAACCCGTTACAACGTATAATAATTCGATGAATATTAGGTTGTTTAAAAGGTTTTGTCCGTTTCATCATGGCTTGCCAGGATGGTGTCTTAGTCTACCGCAGTCGCGTGATGGGTATAGAGGTGCAGAGCCTGACACAAGGTGCAGGACCTGCCGCGAGGCGTCCGAGACCCTAATGCACTTGCTATCAGCATGTCCAGCATATGCGGTCTCGGCCTATATCCATCGACATAACGCGGCCCTTAGAGTACTGTATTACCATATACGGCACTCTAACGGTATTGACGAGACACCGGTGTTGCCCTACGCTCCGGGGGATATTGAATCCGTTGTTGGGAACGAGAAGTGCCGAATTTATTGGAACTATTCGTTCCCCATCCTCAGGCTTATACAAGCTAATAGCCTGATGTGGTCCTCCTCGACCACCAGAGCAAGACAATATTTGTCGTGGAGTTTTCAGCTCCTGGCGAGACGAATATCTTCCGAAAAGAAGAGGAAAAACTGATAAAATATCGAGATTTTCTCTTCGAACTCTTCAGACTCTATCCAGACCACTCTGCCAAGATGGTTGTTCTGATTATTGGAGTCCTTAGTGGAATGGTGACCTCTCTACTTTCGAATCTTAAAATCATACCGGCTTTCCGCGCTAAGGCAGAAATCTTAGCCGGACAGCTGCAGAATGATGACTTACCCCAGGGTGTGGGGTGTGGTCGTTGGTTGATAATGCTGGCGCGCCTTCCCGAATGTATCGGGGCTTTGTGGTATAGGGCCTGACCAGCGCAAAACTACAGTTAGAAAAATAAAATAATAATAATGTTTATTCATTAAAACAATCAGTAAGTATGCAGGATTGTAAAAGTAAATAAACAATGCTCGTCATAGAAGCTCAAATTTCAGTGAAACTATCCCTTGTACGTGATTTCCTATTCACATAAAGCAGTAGACGTTTAACAATAAGAATTAATGATGATCATTGAGAATAGTACAATGAAGAATTGAAAGTTGGTGATAAAATTCATAAAATTTATACATTGAAAGTTGGTGATAAAATTCATAACAGTCATATATAGAATGTTGGTGACAAAATGTGTAAAATTTGTACATTGAAAGTTGGTGATAAAATTTATAACATTTATACATTGAATGTCGGTGATAAAACTTACAACATTTGTTCATTGACATTTGGTGATAAAATTCATAACATTTATGCATGGAATGTTGGTGATAAAACTTATAACATTTATACACTGAAAGTTGATGATAAAATTCATGGCATTTATACATTGAATGTTGGTGATAAAATTTATAACATTTATGGCGGGTTGATTTTCCAGGCTGTTTCGGCAGCACTTTGGTTCAATTTGAATTTGTAGAGAAAAATTGTCCGAAAATCGCTTAACGACATCATAAAGCAATAAACTGAAAAAATGCAAAAACTTAAAATTTGGAAATAAAAAACCAAAAGCATCAATGTACCTATATAGTATAAAATTCCTTATCGTTCATTATATACCACGATACAGTAGAATGAATATTTATCGAGATACGGAGCTACAAAGATATATGGCACTAAAACGGACAAAACTTTTGAAACAATCTATTACATATTTGGATGACCATAAATATATTTTTTCAGAAATATAGCTTTTGCTGGTGAAATATAAAAATTTATTCAAAACACAGATTATTATAACAGTAATACATTCTTATTAATTGTTGTTGATGAGTTCCACTGATCATTTTTTCAAATGGATAATTTTCAAGTGATATGTGTTTGAGACGTCATACGTATTAAACATATATTATTTCAAATGAAATACTCGTTCGAATCATTCTATACATTGGAACCATTCACACTGTTATGACCCTCATTTACAAGTAGATGTGTTGTGCGTTATTGTGCAATATGTCGTTTTTGGGTTTATTGTATGAATGCATGGATAAGACATATGAAAATAATTCAGAGGCCATGTCGTTTAGATATCAGTCCAGACGAAACTGCTTCTTTAATAGATAAGAAGCTGCCAGGCAATCGAATTTTTGTAATGGTGAGAATGAAAAAATTCCACTTTATTATCTTTATTCGACACCGAAAAACAATTGTAAATGTGTGAAGTTATGTCACATAATATACCTAATTGTTATGAATGTAAGTTACTAGTTTTGAATTATATGAATTCATGAAAATTTAATTTATTTCAGTCAAAAACAATGTAAGAAACATATCAAATCATGTCAATATTAAAAATGAATAACACTTAATGAACATCAACATAAAGTTTGATGTAGTGTTTCTTGTAATTCCTCATACCTGTGTTTGTGAATAGCACAAAAAAAAACCAATTTCAACCTCGAATAGAATTATACTCGAATCACAATGATGGAACCTGAAGTACCAAACGCTTAGTCTACTACTGCGGCAGACATGACTTCGGCAGTGAAAGCTTTCACTGATCATAAGTATTTTTGAAACAGAATATAATTGGTGGTACCTAGTCAAAGGCAATTAATGTATATTATAGAATATTTTTCCTGCACCTCCTAACTAGTAAAAATAATTGATCTTATTTTTTTTTTAAGAAAACTAGCGGCCGACCTGTATTGTGAATAGTTGAAGATATCGGCATCTCAAAGGCCAAGAAAATAATACAGAGAAATAATGCCGCTGCCAACTAGTCCACGTGGACTGAAGAATTGGCGGTTCGTATTGGATAATTTTTACTAACCATTATTGGCTGAAGAGTCAAAAATTAAATTTGAAGTCATGTTACGGTGACGAATAGAATGTGGGGATGAGTATCGCCGTTCTGTCGTCAATTGTCAGTTCAGGAACTGATATGAGTGTTGAAATTTGATATTGGTGCAGTTATAATTACTTAAAATTTTTGTTATATGTTTAAAATGTGGCGTCCTTGGACAATTACTAATAGTATTAACGAGTGTGATAACAACGCAGACTTTCCTGTTTAGTGATATTTTATTTGTAACTGTGCTAACTAATCAAATGTGCCTTTCATGCACAATATAAATTGCCCTTTTCACCAATCATATAATTTAAATTGATATCTTAGGTGGTATCGCAAAATTGGAACTTTCATAAACCAATGAGATACTCGTAAGGAAGAAAGATTGCAATTACGTTGATTTCGTTTCAGATAGAAAATCACTTTGAAGGTTAAGGTCTTGTCTTCAGATTAATACGCACTTAACTATTCAATAATTTAAATTATTAGTTGTGAACATACTTTTTCTATTCAAAAATCACACTTCAATGTGTGATTTCCACTGGAGAGTTTACAAAACCGCGACACGTGTTTCGCTATACAATAGCATCTTCAGGCGTTCAGTATTGTGGCATCTGAAAATGCTATTGTATATTGTATCATTTTTACGTCTGATGCTTTGTTTCAATTTTCCTCAAATCAACTCGATGGGATTGAAAACACAAAAATAGGGGGGAAGTCTCAGTATGGTGTGTCCATACTTTTCAGCAATACTCTCAAAGGCATATACTTTTTCAAATGTTTTTGTCTGTAAAACTTCAAGTAGTTGGTTTGTGGTATGGTTATCTTCAGAATACAAATTGTTATAAAAAACTTTGTATTTCGTCTTTCCTCGAATTTTTATTCGGTACTTTGATGAGCTGTCGCAAATAATAGGAAGCGTTGTCAAGAACGTTACACTATTCGCATCCAACTTTGGGATCAATGTGTTTTCAAACCATTCCTTAAAAATATTAGCTTCCATGTTCTTATGATAGTCAACATTGCAGTCCTCTATTTTTTTTCTATATAATTTCAAAGAATTCGGAACCCATCCTTTACTTCCTCCGCAATGCGCAATGATTAGTTGCGATCCTTTGTTTGCAGGCATGTTAAGCGTACACATTCTCGAACCATCAGTCCACCCTTTCGTAACTGTGTCGTGAGTGTCATACCAAGTTTTGTCCAAATAGGAAATTTGCCGTTGTTCTTGTCTATATTTAGACACAATTCCACTATTCTTCTGCTTTCCGTAACTGCTTGACGTTTGTTTATTATTTTAAATCTAAATCCTAGTTTCTTTATCCAATTCTGAAGAGTTTTGTCACAGCAGCTCACGTTATGGCCGGAAGTATTCAATTTCTTCCTTATGATTTCAGTTGTAGGAATCTCATTGTTTTTATAAAAGTTATCCACATTGTGAATTAATTCTATCAAAACATGCATGTCATTTGAAATTAGGTTTCATTTTGATAATTCTCCAAAAATAATTCCTTTGACATATAGTAAAATAAGAACAGATTTCGCAAGAGTTGGTAAACACTTTGCACTTAAATGACGAAATTTCAAGCATTATCAACGATAAAACTGTTTGGCAGAACACTTTGGTATCGTCAGACAAAAATTATTCACTCTGGTTATCTCCGGTACCAGGCAAAATTTATTTTCACACTCTTAGAATGCATGATTCATTGACGTAACTGAGTTGTTAATGATGTATATTAATTAGAATATTGATCTCAGCTGATCTATGAACTCTATGAAAAAAATGTAGGAAAGTCCAACT